GCACTCCTAATAAACAAATGGTAATTCTTTGCTATAAAGACGTTTACCAGAAATAAGATTATTGAAAATAGTATTTTCATATTGAAAATTTCAAGATTTTTGATGAGCGCTAGGTTGTGAAGAATTTCGTTCGTGTTGAACATATGGCTTCAACTTGTACTTATAAAATATTCAAAATGTCTAATTTGGTATTTTTAGATTTTCACGTTAAACTAAAGAAGGTCAATGACGCTAAAATTGACACTTCAGTGTTGCCAACTAAATCAAAAAAAGACTTAAGCTATAATTTAACCAGTATCCAATATCATCGTAGCAAATTTTATTGCGGCTAGTTAGTTGCCCATTTGTTTTTTAAGTCATACAATAAAAGTGTAATGCTCTCTCCATATAGAAATGACTTTGTTATAGAAAAGCATGAGCCAAGAAAATGTGATTCTGCAGTTCTATACCTTTAAAGCGTTGTGTTTATAAAAGCTGCCTTTATTATGTAGACCAGATTTTTAAAAAGCTAACTCTTCAAAGTTCTCCGTCATGTATGAGGATGTCCAATATATATATATTGCAATGTGGTCGCCACAATGACAGTAACAAGAAAAAGTAAAGATTCCCCTTTCAGACCTTGTGGTCTATAGGGCAGACGATGTAAAGGTCATCTGTTTCCGTGGCCTACGGTTAACGAGGGTGTCATGTGGCCAGCAAAACGACCAACTGCCTTTACTTTTCCTCAACTACTGTCAGGTATCCATTAAAGCTGGGTGGACTCAGAGGCGCCCAAAGATCCCGAAATTAAAAATCCCAGTCTACACGAGGATTCGAACCCATGACCCCCGGTTCAGAAGCCAAAGGCTTTACCACTCAATCATCGCGCCTCCTAGCACAATAACACAACTTCTTACATATCTTGACAAATACATTTTTTTTTCCAAGAAAACATAAAAGAACATAAAACCCTAAGAGAGTGTGTAGTACCAAGACTTCAGAATGGAGCGTAATTCAAGAACTGAGGAGGGACACTTCTTACCTCCTGTGTTGATATCCTGGGCTGGAAATCTTAAAGCCAATACGTTCCGTTTTGTTTTACGTAAAGGTTCTGGAGACGTTTGTTTTGTACAATGTTTGACATGTTTGGATTTTCCTTCGCAGTCGGAGATAATTTACTTCCTAGTCCAAACCTCCCGCAGGACGACGGGGATGGCTGCGGGCAGGGTATGAACCCAGGACAAAGGAGAAGTCCGAACGAGAGTCCAGCGCGCATACCGCACGACTAGGCAGATAAGGAATGACACTGTGAGCAGTGTATAAAACAATCAACTTGTTGTTGGCGCTAATCCAACTCCAGGATTTCTGTACTCCGCCATCAAATGCTAGATATGTGAGAGGCTTGGATGCCTTTCCTGGAATAAAGGACGTCCTAAAAATTTTTTTTTACCTGATTTAAACCTAAAGAGCTTTACTAAACAATCAAGCATAGAAAAAAAGAGAAACAAAATAACTGAAGCGCAAAGGCGGTCTATTTTTTTAACATTTATTTTTCATTGGCAAAAAAATCTGTTGTATTTGCGTTGCATTTATAACATCATTCATATATGTGTATTCACCTTTCCCTTAGTCTGTTGAAACCGTTGGGGCATCACACAAGATCTGCTGACCGTCTTTCTCCATTCCCCTCTGTCTTTGGATAGAACTTCTTTCAATGGCATGCCCGTCCATTCTTATATGTTGTCTTCCTATCGCTATCTCTATCTACCTCTTTTCTTTTTTTCCTGGTACTGTTCCATGAAGAAAGGTCTCCTAGCGAGCTCTGTAGACCTTGTAATATGGCCATAGAGTTTTAGTTTTGCGTTGTTGTTTTTTTGCAATAGTTAGCAGGTCTTCGTGGGGTCCAATCACTGTAGTAACCCTGTCTCTAATCGTCTTGTTTTGTGATTTATGTCAGAAAGGTCAAATTTTTCTTGAGTGGCGAATCATCGACATTTGCAGTTCCCCTACAAATCGGTCTTTGTTGATGATATTACGACGAGAAGGCTCTTTACAAAAGTGCATGATCTACTGTCTTCAATGTCTCTTGCTCTTCGTTTCAAATTCAAGATCCAATTCAAGATCAAATTCAACTTCAACCCCAGATATCCATGGACATACAAACAATACTTTAATATCCGATACAGGACAAATAATGACATCAGGTCTCAGAAATATAATACACAAAATACCAGTCCAGGAAGCAACCGCCCAACCTTGCTGGACCGGGAACAAGACCTCACTAACTAACACACTCTCTCGCACATTCAAAGAAGACTAAACCATTCAGTTCATAACACGTGCAAGACTATTCAAATTTATAACATGGACCTGGGAGTACATAAACAAAGGGATATAACTATTATACCAAAATAACAAAGTAACATATTCACTCTTAGCATACCTCCCCCTGACAGGCCTGTTCCATCCCTTGTTATTTTGACATTTCACGAAATGCATTTTCTTATTAGAACTAAGACTAAGACTGCTTTGTTGGTCCTTATTGGAAATTTGTTGCAATTTACCCTATTTAAAGCTCTAGGGGAAATAGAGCGATGTACACGCTAGGAGAATTCATTACTGAAGCTTAGAATGCACAGAAAATAAAACTTAGCAACCCGGAATCTGCATTCCCCTTAGCTGAATAAGAGTGTGCGAACGTACATTGTGGATATAAATGGTGTCACTAGCTCAAGTTTGAGAAACACTGTTTTATATGTTTATAATGAGAATCTATGTATGGATTTTATAATGCATGTTTATGTTTGATTCCTTTCAGAGAGTGGTGCATTAGACTTATGCCTCTCCCCTGCCAAACGGAAGTGAGTCTTTCTTGTGAACTAAATACCTCGCCTCTCTCTGAGCCAACTCCAGCCACCTGGACGTCAAGTTATCACAGAGTAATTAGCATCGACTGGTTAGTCTAATTAACGCCAGAGAACCGCGTACATTCATTTCATTCGTTTTGCTGTCATTAAATGACATTAAAAATAAACAATTATAGGTCGGAGATGAAAATTAACATTCCTTTTTTGGGAACGTTAAAATAATTCTTTTTTATGGGGTGTTTAGGGATCATAGTCCCCCTGGTAAACGTAATAGCTATTTATATCTTGAAAAGATGATTCTATAATAAAGAAGTAATTATTAAATTGTTCCAAGTCAATCATTGTTTTGTGTGTTTTTTTCTTCATGAAATAATTATTGGTTGCTGTTTTTCTACAATGGCAGGGATGTATTAATTGAAAAATGGTTGTTAGATCTAGTTGATAGCACTACATTATTATATATGTTATTGTGTCATTTGTTAATTGATGATTTTCGATATGTAGACTATTCTAAAATAGATATGTGTAAAAACTAAACTCTAGATTCGTAAGATCAACAATTTCTTACAGACACAAGAAGAATTATGAACTTTGTATTGGGTACGTAATACAATACCAATGGTAATATTAATACAGATTTGCCAGTATTGGTCTCTAACTTCAGAGTTCAATAAATTCAAGTCATTGAGTAGAATTGCTTTAGCAACTTATTTCGTATCAGATAGAAATCATATTAAAAGTAACCAAATTAAAGTTTCCCTTTCAGACATTGCGTTCTATGGGACCGAAGATGCAAAGTTCTTCTGTTTCTGTGGCCTACGATTAACGAGGCTGTCATGCAGTTAGCACAACGACTAACTGCCTTTGCATTTTCCCAACTAATGTCAGGTACCCCTTAGATCTGGATGGACTGTGGCGCAATAAAGATCCCAAATTAAATATCCCAGTCATCACCAGGTCTATTTGAACACGGGACCACCCGATTCGGGAGCCAAGCGCTTTACTGCTCAGCCACCTTGTTGCCATAAATCATATTATTAATTTTTTTCACCACAGGATTAAGAAGCCCTCAGAGCCTTTTTTATCAGCCTCATAAGGATCGTCCAGGTCAATGTTCTAGAATAGAATCTCTTAAAGCACCCATGTTACACGAACCTCAGGACTGGCAAAGACTTTCCTTCAAGGTACGATATCAGGCAAAAAAGGGAGAAAATGGAGCAAAAGACAAGAAATTTTTCAAGTAGACTCTAACCCCCCTTTGTTGCAGACTAGTAGGTAGACTCTATCCCCACACTGTTGTGGACTAGTAGATAGACTCTATCCCCACACTAAGTAGACTCAGGTAGCAAAAGAACTATTCAGTACCGTGAAAAGACGAAAACTGATCTGGTTTTTGGTAATATTGTTAAAAGTCATTCTTCAAGGTATAGTCGAAATAGTCCAAAGAGAAACTGGCTGGATAACATGGACGAATGGACCGGCCTCTCACTTGATATCCTGCTAAGAACAGCTGCTGACAGAGAAAAGTGGAGGGATTTGGTTTAGCGAACTGTCACAGCAGCCATACGACTAACGTCAAAGAACAGATGAGATGAGAATGAATTTATAGGGACTGCTCTTTGTAAATAAATTTAAAAAATTAGTCGAAATAGAATTTTAATTCTATTTAAATATTTATTTCTAGAAGGAACACGGTTTTCGAAAGTTTGTGAATATTTATTTTAATATATGATTATAATGTATAATATCTATATTCACGTATGGCAAACCTAAATCACATTTACAAAAATGATGTAAATAATGCCTTAAACAACGAAATCATAAACCCATGACAAAGTATCTGTATTTAATTATTTCAAAATGCTACTTTAAAAGAACTGACTAAAGAAAGAGTTTAGGTTTTAAAAAACATTATTTCCTTATTCCTGATCCGCATATTCAAAAGAATATGCGATAAATTATTTGCAATTATTATAGTTTTCTTCATGACTTTCAGACAAATAATTTGATTGACATCTCCACATCGCTTCCAATAGTTAGATCTAGATTTCAATCGAAATTCTACAGGAAAATGATTAAGAGCGTTTTTCGTACATTGGTCACATGACCATTATCTTAAGATATAATATTTTAAACTATAATTATTCATTATGAAGTAGAGTTGTTGTTTTTTTCTTTTTAAGGTTATCTCTGAAAAACAAATTTCGTTCCGAAGGAAAAAATCAATATTTCATTGGTTACACATTCAGTAAACTAATACACATTTGTTTTTTTTCATTTTGAATGTATCCTATAGATCAAGACTAAGAATAAGACTTATTGTAGATGACTTCTACTAGTAATAAATAACTAAGATAGAAGGCAATAAAAAGGATAAATTTATAGAAGGGAGAAAAGTAGTATATTGTAAATAGTGTGTCCGAAGACAGTTACCTCCCATTTGTATTGATTTTTCCCCTCAGCTTTCTTATAAGCTACAGAGTGTGCTATTAAAAACAACATTAGGACAAGTGAATTGTTGTATGAAATTACCGTACGCTAAAACAATTAAAACATAAAGCATACGTATGGTATAAAAACAATAATGAATGAACACAAATTACTCAAGGAATTCTTTATGAACAGCTAAACAACTTTACATTGAAATGAGTGACAATTTCAGAAAGATTTTACCGCAGTAAATTGACTCGAAACAGTAAGTCTTAGAGCTGTGTGTCCGCAGTAAATGGATCCATAACAGTATGTATTAGATTAGAGCTGTGTGTCCGCATTTAAATTGGATTTTTAACAGTCTGTGTTAGATTAGAGCTGTGTGTCCGCATTAACTTGATTTATAACAGTCTGTGTTAGATAAGCTATTGTGTGTCTGGGTTTACTTTTTTGGAATGGTCCTTTGAGATTTGGAAAACCGTGACCTTATTAGATCTGAGGTCCCCGTGCGTGACGTACAGGCGACTATTCATGACGGCTAGACAGGCTGGCCTGGTGATGCCGTCCTGCGAGGTCAAGACGTGCTCCAAGAAGTGTCCCTCCTGACTGAACATAGACACTCGGTTGTTGTAGTGGTCGCCCACGTAGAGGTGTCCGTCACCGTCGCTGGCCACCCCGTAAGGGAACTTGAACTGACCGTCCTGCTTGCCGAAGCTGCCGAATTGAAACTTGAAGTTGAAGGCCGGGTCGAAGACCTTGATGCAGTGGTTGGCTGAGTCGGAGATGACGTAGTGTCCGTCTTGAGTTGTGCAGATGTACCTCGGTTGATGAAAAAAACTTCCAGCGTCGGAGATGTGGCTGGCTTGGTAGTGGGCGAAGGGCTCTACGTTCTCTTTCATGGCGGTGACAGGGGCGGAGAGCTCGGAGAGAAACTTGCCAAACTTATTAAACACTAGTACCGCATTGGCCTCCTCATCTGCGACAATAAATCTTCCTTTGGTGTCGCACTGAATCCCTAGGGGAAAAAAAAGTATAGTAATTTTATTTCTGAGATAACAAGACATAATGAAATGGCAAATGTTAGTGATACTCTAACTACGCCCTTGGGTTGTATTCACTGAGACGATCCGGTCTCTCAACACTATATATATATATATATAATTCTCTTCGTCCCCAACCATGCGGTACACCACGCAAGCACGCCGAGTCTCCAACCCTCGATGAAAAAGTCATGGAAAGATAACTCTTTTATTTCTGCAAGTCGGACGAAGAGTTACCCCACATAACTTTCGCGGGGACAGAGAGCGAGGCTCAGAAAAAAAAGAGAGGGGGGGGCGTATGCTACGCCGCGGGTCGGATCGTATGAATATTAAGCCACAAAGTTTCAGTTGCATTGAACTCGAAGATTTAATCTTTTACATATTTTTCGCTATATAGTATATGTTTCGATTGCTCGATAATGCACATGAACCCTAGAATAAACAAGGAAAAAAACACATTAAAATACTTATCTATGTTACCTACCATATTTGGTTCACAACAGATTTGACTGCAAGTAGATCTAGATGTATCGAAGGATTTCGCTAGTAGTGTAATCGATCTCAATTGCGCCATGATAACCAAAGACCTGCAGATATTTTTGTAGAGCGCTATGGAAATCGATTACACTTCTCTACTAATGATTAACTTTTCTGTATAGGATACACTTCGAGGTGTTGAACTCAAGTGCTATAGCATTGTATCGTGCCTCATGGGTCAAGAAAAGTTCCCCCTTTTAGACCAAAGGGCCGATGATGTAAAGGTCAACTGTTTCTGTTTCCCACGGTTAACGAGGGTGTCATGTGGCCAGCACAACGATCAATCGCCTTTGCCGACTTGGACTCAGGGGTTCCCTAAAAATTCCGAAATTCAAGATCCCAGTCTTCATCGAGATTCAAACCCAGGACCCCCAGGTTTGGAAGCCAAGTGCTTAGCCACTCAGCCCCCACGCCCCATCGGGCCTTATAAATTACAGGTATTCCTTCAAAAGAAAAGAAGGTAATTACGTTCCACGCCTACCCATGTATTAATCTAGTCATAGTTTCTGGCTGATTCAGGCAACCCATTTTGTTTTTTAATGACACTAGGGAATAAAGTGCACTAGTACGACTTTGCTCTAGCAAATGGAATCAGAAAAAAGCATTTCTATTTTGTGTCTTTCTGGGTATTTTATTACGTTGTGTTCTTGTATAGATAAACAAACAGATAGACAGACAGACAGACAGACAGATAGATAGATAGATAGATAGATAGATAGATAGATAGATAGATAGATAGATAGATAGATAGATAGATAGATAGAAGGAAAGAAAGAAAGAAAGATAGGTAGGTAGGTAGATAGATAGATACATAGATAGATAAATAGATAGAGATTCTCCATGTAGAAATAGAGAGTAAAGACTCCACCACTTACATATAATAATATAAATACATTTTCATATGTGTTAAGAGGCATATACCTGTAGGCGTTGACAGCTCAAGTTGGCCGAATTCCCTGATTGGTTCACCAGATGTTGACCACAGAGACACACAGCCTTGCCTTTTGAGGGTCACGGCCAACGCCCCTTCGGGAGTCACGCACGTGGCCCACGGTTCAGACCCGGCCTCGACGGCGAACGTCACCTTCGGGAAGCCTCTGCTGTCAAAGAGGACGAGTTTGTTGGAAAGAACATCCGTCACCACAGACTCTCCACCCTTCAAGGGCTGAATGTGAGTTGCTTCCTTCACTGCGTGCGTTTCCAGGGTGCCGTCTGACGGAAGCGTCGTCGTGAAGTGGTACAGGAATCGCAAATGGCACTGCCGCATCCGGATGCTAGGAATCCTGCTAAAGTTCACCGTCGCTGCATCGTGTGACTGCGATCGAATCAAAGAGTAGCTCTTCACTAATGAAGTCTCAGCTTCAAATCTATTCTCAGGTGAATCTTCATCTTCCGGAATCACTTCGTCCACTCGTTTTTTAATAGACTTCCTTGAACTAGCTTTGTTCACTTTGATGCTTGACTTGTGCAAGGAAGCGGTTTCTACTTTCGCTTTCCCTTTCCCAGAATTTAAATCCAATTGAAAGACTGGGTTCGTTGTGGATTTAAGGCCGTTGTCGGAACTATTTTCATTAATTACTTCGGATGAACTTGATGACGTTCGCGACCTTGACTGCTTGAAATGAATTTCTTCCAGGGATCTGCTTAGTTTATCATTAGAAAGATTCATTAAATTTGACAAACTTTTGGAAGACTTGTACTGGAAAAGTGTTTTTATTTTTTTAAGATATCCCGTACGCTTCATAGAGGAGTCGCTACTTGATGTAGTGTTCAAATTTTGGGAGCTACTTAAAATATTGTCCGTGCTGGAAGCTAAGAAACTTGTTTCCTGAACAACTGAATCGTCTGCTAGAGATATGTTAGAAACAGATGCCGCCCTGGCACGCATGAGACGAATATGGATCCTTGGTCTTGTTTCCAAGGGAGACGAGCTGGTTGAAAGATCTTCAAGGAAAGAAACATGCTTCTGCAAAGCGGTGTTTTCTTCAGAGGTTCTCGTACTGGACGAAGAGTCAGCATCGGAGCAGCTAGATGTTTTATCAGATTCCGTGACGAAAGAACTGGCATCGTCTGGTTCCTCGATCTTTCCAGTTGGTTGGAATTTGATAAAGTTTCTTCTGGAAAATTTTCTTTGGAAGACGCTGTCTACGATGCCATCTTTCCAGGGAATCTGTTCTGTTATGTCCATCGATGAAGAGTTGGACAAGGAAGACTGGGAACAGCTGTAGTGAACGGGCACTGTTTCTGAGACCGTGGGCAGATTACACCGGATGGTGCTGCCATGATACGTGTCAACTTCTGTCATTGTTGAAGATGTGTGTATGTCTTGTTCTAGAGTTTGTAAAATAGAAAAAGTAACAGAAATACAATCATGAGCAAATTAAATTCCTTTTACTTCTTAAGCTTAAAAAGGTTGCTACTGGTAGTGATAGTCTAAACATTGGAACATAATTTAGATTTTTATAGAAGTAATTTCTCTCTTTTGTTTATATTCAGTTTTTGTTTGGTTATCATCAGTACAGGTGTACTATCAGTTTTTTTAACAGGGAATAGTGATATGGGTAAGGGTGGAAGGTGCTTTTGAGCCCAGCTGAAAGAGTGGTTCCTACACTGAGTTCCGCTGAACCCTAGTGTTCCGAGAGGCCTGAATAGGCTGTGTGAAGCGTCTAGTGTGGTAGCTTGACTTGTTACCACCGCTGGCTAGCATCTGTGAAAGGGGAGCAGTTTTGTAAGTCTCTCTTGCCAGTACATAGCCTCTCCACAGCAAGTCCTAGGCAGTACCTCCTCGTGGTGGCAGATGGACACTGAGGCTGCGAAGCCTCAGGCTAAACTGCAAGGGTCTCGGAGGAGGTTTGGCCCCAAGATGTGAGGCAGGCATGGCCCGTCGGCGTGCGGACACGCCCTGTTGCCCACAAACCAAACCCCTAGCTATAGGTCAATAGCCGCACTGCCTTGTGTGTGTGTCCCTGTAAGGTCTAAGGCTAAGGGAGTAAACCCTAACAGAAAATCCGGTCCTGGAGCCCCGTAGGCGGGGGGACAGTAGTAAGACTACTGCTCTCTGGCAAACTCCTGCAGCCACCTGTCCCCAAATTGTGATGGCTCGCCATCCCTTTGGACCCGGTCAGTATGGAAGAGAGGCGTGTGCTGACGTGTGGGCAGCCCAGCACTCGCAAATTTACCGCCCAGGCTTTCCCCCAGCAATGGAGAGGTCACTCCATCTCTGACAGTAATGTCTTTGGAAAAACACGGAGAGTGGTAGGTACCGGTGATAAGTTCCTAGCTGATTGGCGTAAGCTGGAACGCCAGGGACCACTCTTGACGGTAGGAGGGGCTTTTAGCCTCACTGGATAGCTACTGCCTGCCTTAAGCCGAGCAGCCCTCGGACAGTAAAGTGCTATCCCGCCACAGCTTGCCGCACCACTGGGTGCTTGGTGCTAAGACAAAATCAAAAAGCAAGCTGCTCACCCGCACCTGCAAATACAATCAAAAGAAAACCCTCAACATTAATGCGTTTAGCAAGCTGTAACATACGGACAATGTGTCCTGGCTTCAATACTGACCCTGAACTCGTCACCGACATGCGTCAAACAGCTATCATCGACAGAGAACTCAGCAGACTAAACATTGATGTGGCCTGCCTGCAAGAAACCAGACTGGCAGACAGCGGATCTCTTACAGAAAGAAACTATACATTCTACTGGCAAGGAAAACCAGAACAAAGCCCTAGAATACATGGCGTCGGCTTCGCAATAAGAAACAGTCTCGTCCCCTGCATCGCGATGTTTCCCATTGGCAATGAAAGAGTAGCACACATGAAATTTGCAACACCGCAAGGCAAAGTTAATATAA